AGAACAGAACAGAACAGAACAGAACAGAAGAGAACAGAACAGAAGAGAACAGAACAGAAGAGAAGATTAGCAAGAGATGATTTGCGAAAAGAGGAGAAAAAAGAATGAGACGTGAGAAGGGAAGACAAAGAGAGGGCTTTTGAGGAATAATATCTATAAATACTACATTTTCAATTAAGATGCTAAAAACATATAAATAGTGGTAATTCCAATAGAATATCCTAAAGAACATAGTAAGATTATTTAAGAAAAACTATAATATGATGTCTTAAAACAATTTAAAGACTCAATAGATTTGAGTGAATCTGGCAACTCATTCCACAAAGTCACTGTTCTATATATAAAACTACGCTGACCAGCAGCAGTACGTCACTTAGGTATCTGCAACATATTCTTATTCCTAGTGTTACGATCATGTACCTGAGATTACCTTTCACACATCTAAATGAGAGAAAACAAGAAAGTAGAGACAAAAGAGGAGACAAAATAAAAAAACTAATGCAAAGGAATCACCAAGTTTACGTTATCAAGTACAACTTTTCACCCCAATTTTCAATTTAGTTCCACCACTTCCATCTCCACCTAACCTATCTACTGACCACAAACTAATAAACCTATCTTAAAACCCAAACGGAATCCCGCCCGCAAGATATCATCCAAATAAACACTAAGAGGATGTATAAATATAATATTCTTTACACTCGAGAGATCTAAATCTAGTGTTCTTAGAAGGGAATAAATAGCTTGCACTCGCTTCATGACATCAGGTCTAACAACGTCTTTGATAAGAAGACGCCGTGCCCGATACCATCAACAATCACAGACGTTATTAATATGTACTAAATCTCTTCATTTCCTGTACGCTTGTAAGCTAAATTGCCTTGCTAGTCATGAGTGTACACTAGTATATTTCAATAATCATGGCCTGGTTTATCGTATGTCGTGTGATTATCTTGAAGCAATAATGTTATGAAGTTACTAATAAGCTACATATCATAGGGCACTTGCTAAACTGTCTCGCGTGTGAAGCCAAGTTAATATAGGAGAATGTGAAAGAAATACTGTTGAGGTTGGCCGATTATAATTAATAGAGGTATAAATTGGTGCAAAAGATCAACTGGCCGTTAAATAGAGGTTGGCTGACTTTGACAACTGGCCGCTAAATAGAGGTTGGTCGGTTAATAGAGGTATAAATTAATGCAAAAGATCGCTAAATAGAGGCTGGTCGGTTACTACAGGTATAAATTAATGCATAAGATCGCTAAATTGAGGTTGGTGTTAATAGAGGTATAAAGTAATGCAAAAGATCGCTAAATAGAGGTTGGCCGGATAATAGAGATATGAATTAATGCATAAGATCGGTAGATAGAGGTCGGTCGGTTATAGAGATATAAATTA